CTTGTTTCCAGTCAGGTGAGATCTTCAGAGAAACCAAAAATAGTAGGATTGTTTAAGACTAAAACCATGGGATTGAGATGGGAAAGGCTGTGGGTAAAGCAAATTTGCCAGGGGCTGGAGGAAAGGAGAGATTGTCAGGTGAGATGGGGAGGTGGTGTAGATTAGACACCTAGTTAGAATGCTTGAGTTTGAGATATCTATTAGACATCCACCACTGAATTTAGTAATGTGGCAAAAGGTCCTAGACAATAAAGATTTTCACTTTTTAATGAGACTAGACCAAGCAGAATAAATAATTTCTAAAGTTGAAAACAGGTCTTTTGAAATAGCACAGGCAGACTGAAAAACAAAAGAGAAAAGTGAACAAAGCCTATAGGATTTACAGGACACCATTAAGCAAACAAATATTTGTATTCTGGGTATTTTAGAAGGAGAAAATAAGGGAAATGTATAGCAAGCATATTTAATAAAATAATAGGTAAAAATTTTCCAATTCTTGAGAGAGGGCTGGACATCCAAATACAGGAATCTCAAAAAAAACCCCAAATAGATTCAACCCAAACATGTCCTCTCCAAGACACATTTTAGTCAAATCGTCAGAAGCCAAAGACAAAGAAAAAACTCTAAAAAAAAGCCAGGGAAAGGCATTAAGTCATATGTAAGGGAATCCCCATTACACTAACAGTGGATTTCTCAGCAGAAGCCTTACAGGCCAGGAGAGAATGGAATGACGTATTCAAAATACTGAAAGAAAAAAAAACCCCTGCTAGCCAACAATATTATGCCCAGCAAATCCATCCTTCAGGAATGAAGGAGAAATAAAATATGTGACAGACAAGCAAAAATGAAGGGAATTAATAGTCACCATACTGGACTTACAAGAAATGTTCAAGGGAGTCGTACATCTGGAAGAGAAAACATGATAACCACCATGATGAAAATATGCAAAACTATAAACTCACTGGTAGAGCCAATAGAAAAAGGAAAAACAAAGGAATCAAATCTTATTACTACCAATCACAAAAATAGAAAATAAGATAGGAAGTAAGGAGCAAGGGATATACAAAACAACCAGAAAACAACAAATAAAATAATAGGAGTAAGTCATCACTTATCAACAATAATCTTAAATATAAACAAGTTAAATGCCCATTTAAAGGATATTGACTAGTTAGGCACAGTGGCTCATGTCTGTAATCCCAATACTTTGGGAGGCCGACATGGTTGGATCACTTGAGGCCAGGAGTTTGAGGCCAGCCTAGTCAACATGGCGAAACACCATTTCTACTAAAAATACAAAGATTAGCTGGGCCTCGTGGCACATGCCTGTAATTTCAGCTACTCAGGAGGCTGAGGCATGAGAATCACTTGAACTTGGGAGGTGGAGGTTGCAGTGAGCGGAGATCGTACCACTGCACTCCAGTCCGGGTGACAGAGTGAGATTCCGTCTCAAAAAAAAAAAAAAAAAAAAAAAAAAAAAAGATGTTTACTGACTTTATGGTTAAAAGAAACATGACTCAACTATATGTTGCCTATAAGAAACTCACCTCACCTGTAAAGGCATTTTTAGACTGAAAGTGAAGGGATGGAAAAAGATATTCCATATGAATGGAAATCAAAAGTAAACAGAAGTAGCTATGCTTATATCAGGCAAAACAGACTTCAAGTCAAAAGCCGTAAAAAACAAAACAAAACAAAACAAAAACCAAAGAAGGACATTACATAAATAATAAAGGGATCAATTTAGCAAGAGAATATAGCAATATAAATATATATGCACCCAACACCAGGGTACCCAGGTATTTAAAGGAAATGTTATTAGGTCTAAAGGGAGAGAGAAGCTTTGATACAATAATACCTGGAGACTTCAACATCCCACTCTCAGCACTGGACAGATTCTCTAGAAAGAAAATCAACAAAGAAACATTGGATTTAAACTGCATCATTGACCAAATGGACCTAAAAGATATTTGCAGAACATTTTACTCAACAGCTGCAGAAAACACATTCTTTTTATCAGCACTAAGAATATATTCCAGGACTGACCATATGTCAGGACACACAAAAGTCTCAAAAATATTTTAAAAATTAAAATCAAATCAAGTATTTTACCTGACCACAATGGAATAAAACTAGAAATGCATAACAAGAACATTTGAAACTATGCAAATACATGGAAATTAAACAATGTGTTCCTGAACAACCAATGGGTGAAGAAAGAAATTAAGAATAAAAAATTCCTTGAAACAAATAAAAATAGAAATACAACATACCAAAACATGGGACACAGCAAAAGCAGTATTAAGAGGCAAGCTTATAGAGATAAATGCCTACATCAAAAAACCAGAAAGATTTCAAATAACCTAATGATGCATCTTAAGGAACTAGAGAAGCAAGAACAAACAAAAGCCGAAATTAGTAGAAGGAAAGAAATTATAAAGATCTGAGCAAAAATAAATGAGATTGAGACTAAAAATATACAAAAGATCAACAAAATAAAATGTGCTCAAAAGTCTTCAAAGATTTTGACCCCGTGTGTGTGTGTGTGTGTGTGTGTGTGTGTGAGAGAGAGAGAGAGAGAGAGAGAGAGACAGACAGAGAGAGAGACAGACAGGGTCTCAGTCTGTCACCCAGGCTGGAGTGCAATGGTGAGATCCTGGTGCATTGCAGCCTCAACCTCCTTGGCTCAAGTGATCCTCCCACTTCAGCCTCCCAAGTAGCTGGGACTACAGGTGCATGCCATCACACCCAGCTACTTTTTTTATTTTTGTGTATAGACAGGTTTTCGTCATGTTGCCCAGTCTGGTTTCGAACACCTAAACTCAAGCAATCCACCTGCATTGACATTCCAAAATGCTGGGATTACAGGCATGAGCCACTGTGCCTAGTCAAATTAGAGCCTTTAAAAAACAAGTAGCTTGTAGAAAAGCTTATGATAATTGCTCGAACCTTAAGTAATAAAGACATTTTTCATTTGTACATTTGTTCTTTTACTAATTGAACATTTATCGAGTACCTATTATGTAGTAGACAATATTATATGTAGTAGACCACCATTTCTGCCCTCAAGTCTAGAAGCCAAGGCCATTCCCCTGTGGCTCAGAAAGAAGATAAATAGGGAGGAAGTGAGTCCAGTAAGCAGCTTATATGAGTCTCCTGGTTCATTACTTAATCTTCATTGAAATCTTCTTATTGTGTGTGTTGGGGGGAAGATGGAAGCAAAATACTGTTTTGTTAATTCCCATGCTCTTTGGGATCTTTATGTTCCTTCTGAAAGTGAGAAAATAAATAGGAGATCCACATTCTTCACGAGAGATATGGATGTGGAAAGGAGAAGGATTTTGAGAGAAGTCAAGAGCCATAGGGTGGAATAATATGAGCTTGTGTATACTTGCAACTTCCTAAAGAGAATCATGTCCCAAAGGCTTCTAACAAAGCTTGTTGAGGGCTTGGAAAAATGAGATAGGTAAAAAATCAAGGTCACTTAAAATGCTTAGAAGTGTTGGGGAGAGGAAATGGTAAAACTAGTTAGAATGGCTGTATGGCTCAGTAGTTAAGCAGGTGGGCTCTGGCACCAGACAGATTTGGCTTCTGATTGTAGTGCAGGCACTTAGCTGTGTGACCTTGCAGAAGTAATTTCACTTATTGAAGCTTCAGTTCCCCATATGTAAAACAGAGTGGAATTTCCAGGCAGGTCTAAGTCCATATGTAGCATGTCTTGATAGTTCCTTTCTCAAAGTATATAAGCCCTCAAATGATCACAAACCTTCATTAAAAAAATCTGTTCTGGGACCCCTCATTCATTTGTCCACCCACCCACCCATCCTTCCGTCCATCCATCTATCCATCCATCCATCCATCCATCCATCCATCCATCCATCCATCCATCATTCGTCCATTTAAGAACTATGTATTGAGCACTTACCATTGCTTGGCGTTGCAGATGAAATTGTGATTAAGAAGTTATTATCCCTGCACTCCTGTGCCTTACAGACTAGAGGTGAATGCGGATTTACATCTATAAGCATTATTATGATATGACCAGTGAAAAAGCACAGAACACCATGGAGAAATATAACTTGGGGCTCATTCTTCTTTTCATTTCTCTATTCTCAAAATTCCATTTTATCATCCTCTAACTTGTCAGCTCCCATTCACTAGTAACCCACAACAATCTGATTTCTTCCTACCCAACCCAACTTCCTACCCAACTTTCACATTTGCTGAAAATGTGAAATCCAATTGTCAGTTCTCACACTTTCATTCTTCCTATTAATCGCTCTCTGCAGCATTTCACATTGACATCTTGAGATGTTTCTTGAGACATCTCTTCCCATAAATTCGATAGGTCAATTGCCTTTCTTATTAACCCCTCTGCTGCTTCTGCTCTTTAAATTTTGGGACAATCCTTAGCATTTAATATTTAAATCTTTTCTATACATGCTTTTATATATGACCTCATTTATTCCCACATCATTAACTACCATGTACATGTTAAGGATTGTGAAATTCATAGATCTGGTTCCAAATTCAGATGGGCATTTAACTTATTTTAAAAGAGAATTTAACTTAATTCAAAACTAAATTTATCATCTCCATAGCTTTTTGTTTTGTTTTGACTGAAACTAATAGTGGTAACATTTACTCAGTCTCCTTGGATTGAAATTTTGTGCTCCTATTTCACAATATTTCTTCTACCAAAATTTCTTTCTTTACCCCCTCCGAAAACATTTATTTTCTCTCTAACTTAGGTTGAGTTATTCAATTAAGTAACTAAATAGAATAAAACCATATTCATTTCACTATTAACACTTAACAGGTTGTAATTTATTTCCAAGTCCTTCCCACTGAACTGAAGTTTAACTCTTTATTGAGTACTTAATAACCATCAGAGAGCTTAGTACATAGTAGCGACTCATCAATGAAATCTTAAATTCTTAAATTCTTTTTTTCTTTTCTCTTTTTTTCATACCTAGTCCCACAGATAATTCTTAAATTCGTTAAAGATTCACAAGCTTTTTGACAATATCCTTGAAGGCTTGTTTTACCTGTTGGTTCCTTAGGGTGTAAATAAAGGGGTTCAACAAAGGAGCAACTGAAGTAATGAGTAGGGCTACTCCCTTGTTGAATGCATCCCCTTCTTTTGCAGAGGGATTAATGTACATAAACATGCAGCTTCCATAAGAGAGGGAGATGACAATCATGTGGGAAGAACAAGTGGAAAAGGCTTTTGTCCTTTGCTGAGCAGAGGGGAGCTTCAGAATAGTCTTGATAATGAATGTATAGGAGAGAATCACTAGCACCAGAGTGACCACCAGGGTCACAGATGCCACAAGAACGACAACCTTCTCTATGAGGCTTGTGTCTGAACATGAGAGTTCCAGAAGAGGCTCATAGTCACAGAAATAATGATTCAGCCTGTTGGATGCACAAAAGTCCTGCTGACTCATCAGGGTGATTGGTGGTATAATAGCCATTAGCCCACCCAGCCAAGAGCAGAAAATCAGCTGGGTGCAGACTCTGCTGCTCATGATGGTGGTGTAATGCAGAGGTTTGCAGATGGCCACATAGCGGTCATAGGACATGGCAGCCAGAAGGTAAAACTCTGTGGCCCCAAGGAATATGGCAAAGAAATACTGAGTGAAGCAGCCAGCAAAGCTGATACTCTTGTCCCCTGTTGTGATGCTAATCAGGACCCTGGGAATGAAGATGTTTGTGAAGGAAATTTCCAAGAAGGAGAAGTTCCGGAGAAAGAAATACATGGGAGTCTGAAGGTGGGAGTCCAGTAAGGTGAGGATGAGGATAATCAGATTTCCAAGGATGCTGAGTAAATACGTAAGGAAAAGAAAGGTGAAAACTGCCACCTGGAGTTCAGGGATATCTGTTAGACCCAGAAGGATGAACTCAGTTAACACGGTTTTATTTTTCATTGTTGAAAAAATTTTGAGTCTCAAAGTGAAAAAGAGACTAGTAACCAAAGGTGAGAAAGGAAGAGGTGCTCTGAAATGAACAGATGAAGTTTGACAAGAACAAAATGAAAAGGACCATGAACTCCTCTGATGACGTGGTCCAGACCAGTGGCCCATTTGAATGATGTTGGATCCTTCCCAGTCCCATTTGCCCTGTGGAGGAAAGTTCTTGTCATTGATTTTCCCACATTGTACTCTCCCTAGTGCTCACATGAGGCAAGTGTCTGCCTCATAGATGATGTTCAAAGAATTGTGAAATAAGTTAATAAAATAATGCCTCCAGCTGCTACCTCCTTCCAGAATATTTATTTCTTTCCCCCCACATTAACTTTATTTCTTATTGACCCCATTCATTGCCCCACTTCCTTTGTGTGCCTAACTCTTCTCAGAATTGTTTTTCTTACTCTTCCCTACCTTTTTTTCATATAAATATAGCAGTTTCTCATTTTTCTTCGAGTTCAGTTTCCTTAGTTCCCTTGATGCAAAAAAAGTATCATCTTCCCACTTCTTTCCGGTGGACCCTCCAAATTCTTAGCCTGTGTCTGTCTGTTAGATTCAAATATCTGTGTATTAGGGTTATGCTATTCTGTCCTTTGAAACATTCTACATACTTTCTAGGGGTCAGTAAATATTAGATTAGAATACTTCCTCAAACACATTCAGAATCTTTAGATCTAGAATTTTGCTTTCCTGTAAGGGTAGGGAGATTCTATTACATTCCAAGGAAATTTTAGGATCTTAAGAATATTTGAAGCAAGAATTTTTAAACCAGGGATCTACTAATCCCTAGATTAGATTTACTATGTATGTAAATCCATTAAATTATGTGTAAAACATTTTGTGTATGTGGGCATGTGAATTTTATGGGGAAAATGGATAGAACTATGATACAGGATTTTCTGGGAGATTCCATATTTGAGTACTTCATGGGCATTTCAAATAAGTTTCTACTTATTTGTGAGCTCATGCAGGTAAAGAGTCACATTATCTGGGAGTGCGCTTATTGATTTATTCAAGATTTCTTTCTAGTTATGTTTTTATAAATGTTTATAAGGCAGCAGCTTTAAAGCATTTTTGATTAAAATTCATTCTAAATTATGTATATTTTAATAGACACATATAGATATCACTTAAAAGTTTTATACAGCGTTTCTTACTACATATGGTATAATCTTTTTTTTTTTTTTTTTGAGACATAGTCTTACTCTGTCACCCAGGCTGGAGCAAGTAGCATGATCATGACTCACTTCAGCCTTGATCTCCTGGGCTCAAGTGATCCTCCTACCCCAGCTTCCTGAGTAGCTGGGACCACAGGCATGCACTACCATCCCCAGCTAATTATTATTAATTTTTAATGTTTTGTGAAGATGGGGTCTCGCTATGTTGCCCAGGCTGGTTTTGAACTCCTGGGCTCAAATGATCCTCTCACTTTGGCCTCCCAAAGTGCTGAGATTACAGATGTGAGGCACTGTACCTGGCCCATGTGATAAAATCTGATATTTTCTATTTAATTTTTAAAATGCTGGTTGCAGCCCACTAAATTGATTTTATAACCTCTTATTGGGTTGCAGTCAACAGTTGAAATCAGGGATCAAGAAAAGTTATTGTAAATAACTTAGGGAACAAACTTTAAATATGCAACTGAGAGAAGAGGGTCCAGAGAGGTTAGCTTGGAGATGGGTTGGTGGTGCTGAGGATGGTAGCCAGAGAGCATCAGCTGCAGATGCCCTTCCCTCCTGGTTACTAACCTGGAGTCTTCAGGGAGTGGTTGAATATTCACATCTGCATCAGTTTCAGGCTTTACAACTCCTGAGAAGTAAAATAAATGAAGCTATGAACAGTTAACATACTTCCTGACTTGACTGTCCAAATGACTGTTGCGAGATTTTAATCCTAAATGTTCTTGGTGGTAAATTAAAATTAGAAGGCAACATAATTACAAAATAGTATAAGATTTATTGCATATATATTTTTTTTACCTTTTCTGCCAGCAAGTTCTATACTACATTTCATAGAAGTACACAAATTTCCAAACTTCTCTTGGTAAGAAGTAGTCTGCTGCTTCTGTTTTTTATCATCTCAGTGGGGATTTGCTTATCTCTGTTCTTCAACTAATTAAACAGGAGCTGAATCAGAGTTTTTGGACATCCTCTTTTTAAAGCGTAGCCAATAACTAGGACACTAAAACAAAGACTTTGAGAAGCAGAGTACTCTTGAATTTTTCTGTTGTAGGAGAAATAAGCTGATAATCTCAGAAGGCATAATATGAGCTCCCTGTCCTACCCCAGATTAAACTTCACCCAGAGTGACACAGGTTATACATGCTCTATTGAGAGCATGCACTGGGGATCAATTGAGTAAAGAAACACAAGTTCCCTGGGGGATCTTCATCTGGAACAGGCTAATGAATGTCCTTTGTGAATAACTTTGGGAACAAACTTTAAATAGACAGTTGAGAGAAGAGGGTCCAGGGAGACTAGTTAGGAGATGTATTGGTGGTGGTGGGGGAGGCATCTAGAGAGCATTAGCCACAGAGAAGAGTATGGAGTCATTATATTTTTCTTTCTCAGGTGGGTGGTCATAGCTGGACTTGGCTATGGACAAACAGGTTGGGTGGAACCATTTGGAGGTCCTAAAAAGCCACACTTTCTTTTTTTAACTTTTATATTAGGTTCAGGGGTACATGTGCAAGTTTGTTGTATAGGTAGACTTGTGTCATGAAGGTTTGGTGTACATATTATTTTGTCACCCAGCTACTAAGCATAGTACCCAATAGTTATTTTTTTCTGATCTTCTTCCTCTTACTATCCTCCCTCAAATAGGCCCCAGTGTCTGTTGTTTTCCTCTTTGTGTCCATTTGTTCTCATTTAGCTCACACTTATAAGTGAGAACATGCAGTATTTGGTTTTCTGTTCCTACATTAATTTGTTAAGTATAATGGCTTCCAGCTCCATTCATGTTCCTGCAAAGGACATGATCTTGCTCTTTTTTTAAATGGCTGCATAGTATTCAATGGTGAATAGGTACCACATTTTCTTTATCCAGTCTCCTGTTGATGGACTTTTAGGTTGATTCTATGTCTTTGCTATTGTGACTAGTCCTGCAATGAACATAGATATGGTTTTGCTATGTCTCTACCAAATCTCATCTTGAATTGTAGCTCCCATAGTTCCCTCATTTTGTGGGAGGAACCCAATGGGAGATAATTGAATCAGGGGGTGGTTTACCCGATACTGTTCTCATGGTAGTAAATAAGTCTCATGAGATCTGATAGTTTTATAAGGGGAAACTCGTTTTACTTGACTATCATTCTCTTCTCTTGTCTGCCACCATGTGAGATGTGCAGAAGGGAAAAGCCCTTCTGCTATGATTGTGATGCCTCCACAGCCATGTGGAACTGTAAGTCCACTAAATCTCTTTCTTTTGTAAGTTGCCAAGTCTTGGGTATGTCTTTATCAGCAGTGTGAAAATGGACTAATACAGTAAATTGGTATCAGGAGTGGGGTGCTGCTGAAAAGATACCCAAAAATGTGGAAGCGACTTTGGAACTGGGTAACAGGCGGAGGTTGGAACAGTTTGAAGGGCTCAGAAGACAGGAAAATGTGGGTAAGTTTGGAACTTCCTAGAGATTTGTTGAATGGCTTTGCCCAAAATGCTGATAGCAATATGGGCAATAAAGTCCAGGCTGAGGTGCTCTCAGATGGAAATGAAGAACTCGTTGGGAACTGGAGCAAAGGTAACTCTTGTTGTGTTTTAGCAAAGAGACTGGCAGCATTATCCCCCTGCCCTAGAGATTTGTGGAACTTTGAACTTGAGATAGATGATTTAGGGTATCTGGCAGAAGAAATTTCTAAGCAGTAAAGCATTCAAGAGGTGACTTGGGTGCTGTTAAAGGCATTCAGTTTTATAAGAGAGTAGAGCATAAAAGTATGGAAAATTTGCAACCTGATGATGTGATAGAAAGGAAAATCCCATTTTCTGAGCAAAAATTCAAGCTGGCTGCAGAAATTTGCAAAAGTAACAAAGAGCCAGATGTTAATCCCCAAGACTATGGGGAAAATGTCTCCAGGGCATGTCAGAGGTCTTCACCGCAGCCCCTCCTATCACAGGCCAGGAGGCCTAGGAGGAAAAAATGGTTTCGTGGGCCAGGCCCAGGGTACCTGCGCTGTGTGCAGCCTAGGGACTTGGTGCCCTGCATCTTCGCTGCTCCAGCTGTGGCTGAAAGGGGCCAATGTAAAGCTCAGGCCATGGCTTCAGAAGGTGCAAGCCCCAAGCCTTGGCAGCTTCCACTTGATGTTGAGCCTGTGGGAGCACAGAAGTCAAGAATTGGGGTTTGGGAACCTCTACTTAGATTTCAGAGGATGTATGGAAATGCCTGAATGCCCATGTAGAAGTTTGCTGTGGGAGTGGGGCCCTCATGGAGAACCTCTGGTAGAGCAATGCAGAAGGGAAATGTGGGCTGGAGCACGCACTCAAGAGTCCCTACTAGGGCACTGCCTATTGGAGGTATGAAAAGAGGGCCACAGTCCTCCAGACCCCAGAATGGCAGATCCACCAACAGCTTGCACTGTTCACCTGGAAAAATCACAGACATTCAATGCCAGACTGCGAAAGCAGCTGGGAAGGAGGCTGTACCCTGCAAAGCCACAGGGGCAGAGCTTCCCAAGACCATGGGAACCCACCTTTTGCATCAGCATGACCTTGCTGTGAGACATGGAGTCAAAGGAGATCATTTTGGAGATTTAAGATTTGACTGCCCCTCTGGGTTTCAAACTTACATGGGGCCTGTAGCTCCATTGTTTTGGCCAATTTTTCCCATTTGGAATGAGTGTTTTTCACCAGTGCCTGTATCCTCATTGTATCTAGGAAGCAACTAACTTACTTTTGATTTTACCAGCTTATAGGCAGAAGGGACTTGCCTTATCTTGGATGAGACTTTGGATTGTTGAACTTTTGAGTTA